TGTTAGGTAGATAAAAATTATTGTTGATAGTTATAACTAGTAGATGCTACATTGGTTATGTTTGGTAGACAACTAAACTAGTTTATATCTTATTTGATTAGTTTATAAGTTTCATGTATTTAAATAAGCTTCTTTTGGCTGGACGAACTTCTTAAAAAAGCTCGAACTTATCTTATAAACTTTTTTGAATAGTTTTTCAATTAAGTTCGTTGAATCAGCTAAGTTTTATCAGCTAATTTTACTAAACACTTTTGTCAAATAAATCAGTTTTTTACCTATAAGTCATAAGCTATAAGTTCGAAAATTACTAATTAATAAGCTATAAGTTAACTTATCAACTAGTTTTACCAAACGTATCCATAACATTTTTGGTTAATTAAATTACTTTGACTCAGTGTTTTAAATACCGTATCGTACCGGTCGGTAATAACAGAAATCGACTATTGGTACGGTACAATTACTCACAAAATACTGAATTTACGATTATACCAGTTTGTACCAGTATCATACCCTATTAAATACCAGTCTAAAATGCAGGCCAATGAAAAAAAGTTAAAAATAAAATAACATTTTTTAATTTAAAACATAAAATATATTTGGTTTAAAATATTTTATTTTTATCTTATTAAGAAGTTGAAATTCATGATTATGGTCATTTAATTTTTTTACTTTTTTGTATTTGGTATTATATAGTTTTATTTATATTTATATATATCATTATATTTACTAGTACGGCAATACCAACGATAATACCAGTCCGACCGGTAATGCCGCATACTGGTGGATAGACCGATATGACCACCAGTACGGTATTTAAAACACTGCTTTGACCTCGTTCATCTCATTTTTAATTAAACAGATCAATAAAAATGAATGAAAAAAAGGAACAAAATGTAATACATGAATAAATTTTTTGTACTTATCACACAGGTTTGTAATCTAGAGTCTTAAAAATTTGTTTTTATACTCTCGCATGGTTTAACATTAATTCTAAATCCATCTTAGTCGAGGCTATTAAAAAATTAATATAACAAAAAATCTAATTAAAATGATACATGCACACATCATTAGGTAGGGAAATGCTACGGTCTTATTAAAATGATACATGCACACATCATTAGGTCTTATACACACATAAATAGGATTTACCTTGAGTTGTAAATGAGATAGTTAAACTTTCATCGAGCTTAGCTGAGCTAAAGTTTAGCTCATTAAATTAAATAAATCGATAATCGCGTGTGAATTTGCCGAGCCAAAGTTTAGGTCATTAATTAAGTAAATCGATATCAATATTAGCTGTTCAACATCCAACCTTAACAAGCAAGCTAAACTATAATAGTTAAAAAAAAAAAATTACACAAAAACATCTATTCTCAAATTATCTATCCTTAATTACATCGATTTTCCCGGCCTGATGGTATAAATTAATCAACACATTTCAATAAAATGACGACAATTCGAATTATTACCATGCATGGAAAATATTTATCAAGAAAATTATTGTTAGGTTAAAAATTAAAATGGAATAATAAATATAACCATCTTTGACTTTATAAGAAAATTAAAACTTTTTTTCGTGTAAATTGTAATTGCCACCAAGTGACAAGACACAACAAAATTAATAATTAGGGAGATCAATTTGTTATATACTTAAATAAATAAGTCATGTACTGAATGTTGCAATACATTTATGTTTCTCAGAATTTAAATAGTGAAAAATATACTCACCAAACTCTTAAAACAACTATCTCAGTGTAACA